CGAATGGAAAACTGCAGTGGTGACGAGCCGCCGTCGAGATCCTGCAATATCGTTACGATTGTTTTTTGGTATTTGTATTTATCAGACGAAATGTCGCACAGACAGCTGGTCTTGCAGTTATTGTGATTGCAGTTAATTAAAGAACGGAAACCGTCTGTTCGATAACACACGCGAAAAAATCAAACAAATAAATATAAACAACTATCCGCAATAAGTTTTTTTTTTTTTTTTCAGTAAATCGTTTTGTAAAATATTAGGACGCATTCCATGTGTACATAATAAGCTAGTAAATTTAAGAATAATAGTCGACAAAATGTATTCTATAGTTSTTGTTTGTGTTTTCATTCGAAATAATAATAAATAATATGTCAGTACATTATTAAAGTCGCAATAAGCAAACGAATTCTGTGTTAATTTATTTCGTTTCACGTTTTACCCATTTGGCTGTTTTAACTGCTGCAGTGGCGTCGTGAACTCTATTTGTGCAAGTTCGGCTAGAAGACTTAATTGCTAGCACACGTTTTGCACATGCAATTTTTTGAAAAGCGCCCTCAATCAAATGCTCCATAATACATTTAATACTTTTTATACTTGCCTACATATTTGTGGTTTAATATTGTTATATTTATGGATAGGTAAAGGATTGCAAGACTTATTTGGAAACAGTTTATAGACGTATCGGCTGTAACACAAAATTTTTTTGGTTTTCCCGAGTTAATGATTATATCCTACCGTTGTACATATTATTTTTTAATTATTTGTAAATATAATAATAAAAACTGGAAAGTTGAGTAAAATCTATAAAAAATATATATATAACATAATATTCTGTCACAGATAATTTTGTCATTTGGCTATATTATTGTCAATTTGAATAAATATTACGCTAAAATTTATAAAATATTCGTACATTAAAAGCGCCCCGGTTCGCCCGTGTCTCGGGCCGGCACTGCACATCAACCACTAATGATTTTCATTAGAAAAGAAACACCTTGTCAGTTGTCATTAATGAGTGGCAAGTCGATTCCGTGTTATGTTTCGATGATATGTTAATTGTTCATACAGCGAACACTGTATCTAATATTGAAGTCTATCATAGACAAACAAAAACAGATAATAGATACAATACAGGTTTAATACAAAAACTATTATATACGTATCAATGCATGTTTTATTGACGCCAATGTCTAATTACCCACGTGGACGCGGTCTTGATGAGGGCGCCAATCAGGGGATGCATGGGGTGACACTCCATTGAAAAAACATCGCAATTTTATTAGTTTCGAATACTAAATTAATTTTACTGATATGATAACACTGTACATATAGGTTAGGTCATAGGCGTCCGCAGGGGGGTGGCAAGCTGGAGCATTTGCCCCCCCCCACGGGCTTTTTCAAAATATTTTCTTTAATTGAATGTTATAAGATAAATTACTGTGTTATACTATACAACAAATTTAAAGTATAAAATACGTTGTAATATAATAAAAAATAATATATTGTATACGAGTAGGTATAATAAAAAAGGTTATTATTTTAAAACACCTAGTAAAATTATAATATTTATCCTCAAATCCTGAATCTTGAATCAAAATTTCTGCGGGCGCCTATGGGTTAGGTTATCATCATATACCTAAAATACTATGCCGATCAATCGGCCGCAAATAAATGTATTTATATGGTGCGGAGTTTGGAATAAGAATTTATGTTTGTTTCATTATTTAATAAAATAAATTTGATCGATTCTTAGTTTTCAAGTCATTTATTTTATGAGTGTCACTAACCTAAGTTTTGACAGATGGACGCCTTTGAGTCATGACAGATTTCAGACGTAGGTACTTTATATGACATCAATCTTCATTATAATCCAATAGACCGTAATTCAGTAATTTTTCTATTCAGTGTTAAGGTGATTTTACCTACCTGGTTATGAGGATCATATTATATATTTTGTTGTCCATTTCGATTGTAGACGAATGTCTAAAAATTATTGTATGTAAATATAATTATAATATGTTAATATAATAATAATAGCACAAATTATATTGTAAAACCTGCAGACGGTGCACTTCTTATTCAATCAAGCCATGCAATTCCCTAAAATGTATACACAAATCAGTATCACCAGTAATAGAATAAAATACAATTTATATTAGAAATTATTGATTATTAAGTATCCAACACTAATATTCAACAGCATTTGCACCAAATTCCTGACCATTGTTGTAGTGTTATTGGATACAATAATTAAATACTAAAAGAATATTGTGCAATTATGTATTTTTCATATTATGTAATCCAACTGCACAAGATTCAAGTTTCAGTAGATACAGAAGTGCACTACCTGTTTTTATATAATCTACAGCAATAGCATCAAAATGTAAACAAAATATATTTATTAGTTTCATCAATATTGAGTTCATTCTTGACGATAACATTTCTTTTTTTTTTTTAATTCCATTGTGTATACAATAAATGTTAGCATACTTTGAAAGTTTCAGGACCTACAAAACAATATTTTTAAATAACAACAAACCATGAAAAAAACTTTGTAACTTAGTACAGCTTAGGTAAGTGCATGCTATAATGTTTAAAATTCTTGTCAACAATTTTACAGGATGGAAGCAGCATACAGCTGAAAAAAAGAAGTCTCAATAATTGGTACCAGAATCAACATTTTATTTTATTAATATGTTATTTGATGAGAAAAACATAGTATACAACCAGTTTAGAAAATAATGATGAAAGTGATAAACTTTTAATTAAATTTTTCTTACTTAAATATAATTTACAGAACATTATAATCAGGCGCGTCCTAGGGAGAGGCAATCGACCCGTACATAAGTCTCGTGATCTTCTGTTTTGACCGATTTAGTTGTACTTTTGAAAGTACACAAGCATTTTAAGTACTTTAAAAGTGTAAAATTATGCTTGCTGTAAAGTGTACTACTAATAAGTACATTTATATTCTTATTTAAAATCCTAACAGATTTATTTCTCATTAAATAGGTATGTACTATTGTACTTCAATATTGAAACAGTTAATTAATTATTCACTAATAAGTATTTACTACATTTACAAACTTAAATATTAAATTACATTTAAGTAAATAAATTATTTACTGCTTATAGCCTCTGCCCCCCCCCCACTTAGAAATTACCCGAAGACGCCCCTGATTACAAGTAGGTACTTTAATCTTAATATTAAAATGATAATCAATAAATTATACCTTAAATATAACTTTAAACATAACTATTTTAAATTACAAAATTAAATGGTGGTATATAAAACCATTGTAGATAAAATACAATATAATTTTATTATTGATTCTACTTAGATACAAGACAATAATATACATAAATTCAATATTTAAAAGTAGTGATAATACAAATATTTTTTATTTTACAAATAAATAGTATGCATAAAAATATATTTTCATGATATTAATAAAACCTGCCAAAAATTTATTGTTCAAAGCTTTTCAATGAAATAATTCTTCCAGGAGTTTTTTACATTTGATACCTTGGAGCAGTGGTTTCAAACATACGGCTGCGGATAATTATGACGTTGCCCGCAATAGTTCAAAAAACTCCATAATTTATTTTTAATTTCAATAATATAATGTAAATTTAATATGTTATTCATCATGAATATTATGCATGTATTATATCTTTAGTATTAAATAGTAGTTAGTATAATAACTGCAGAAAGAAATATTGTTTTTAACTACTTTTCAGTTTTATTTTAATTATAATTACTGGAGCTAAGCATAAAAACAAAAAATGTCAACGAACACGTTTGGCCCACGAACATTTGATTCTAAAATAAGTGGCTCTAGGTAATTCAAACTGGTTCCAACTGCTCTAGAAAAACTTCTTAAATGTATCTCTAAGTGCCTTATTAAATCTGATCTGAAGGAAATAAATCTCAATGATTGGTACCGGATTAAACAATTTTATTTTATTAATATGTTGTTTGATGGGAAAACACATAGTAAATTACAAGTTTAGAAAACAACAATGAAAGTGATAAACTTTTAATTAAATTGACCTTAGCTAAATATAATTTACAGAACATTATAAGCAGGCAYGTCACCGAGAGGGGCGATGGGAGCAATCGTCCCCTCCATAAGTCCTGTATTGTTTTGTTTTTGTTGTACTTTAAAAGTGTAAAGTTATGCTTACTGTTAAGTGTACTACTTATAGGTAAATTTACATTCTTGCTTAAAATTCTAACAGCTTTATTTCTCTTTCATTAAGTAGGTACTATTATACTTTAATATTGATAACAGTAAATTAATTATTCACTAATAAGCATTTATTACATTTAAAAACTTAGATATTAAATTATATTTMAATTAATAACTTATTTACTACTTAAAGCCCATCAAAAACAACCCAAATCTTAAGTAGGTACTTTAAACTAAATATTAAAATCATTATCAATAGATTTTACCTTAATTATAACTTTAAACATAACTATAAAATAATTTTAAATTACAAAATTAAATGGTGGTATAAAAAACCATTGAAGAAAAATACAATATAACTGTAAATTTGCAGAGAATTAAATAAATTACAACTATCAAAATATAATGACAATTWCTATACTTAGGTACATCATAATATACACATTATTTAAAATTAGTGAAAATACAATTTTTTTTTTTACAAATACATTTTATGTAAAAATATACTCTCATGATATTAGTAAAACTTGCCAAAATATGTATATTTACAATGTCTTTCAATGAAATAATTCTTCTCGTAGCTTTTTACATTTGATATCCTAGATCTGTGGTTACAAACATGTGGCTGCAGATACTTTTGACGTTGCCCACAATAGTTCAAAAAACTCCATAATTTATTTTTAATTTTAATAATGTAATGTAAATTGAATAATTTAATTTAATATGTTATTCATAATGAATATTAAATATTCTGTAGTATATTATTAGTATTAAATAGTAATATAATAACTGCAGTAATAGTCAATAGAAAGAAATTTGTTTTTAACTATTCAGTTCTATTTTAATTATAATTAGTGGAGCCAAGTATAAAAACAAAAAATTGCAACGAACATGTTTTGCCCACAAACATTTGATTCTCAAATATGTGGCTCTAAGTAATTCAAACTTGTTCTAACTTATCTAGGTTAGGTTAGGTTAGGTTAGATATCATAATCAAATATTTTTTTCTCTAGTATGCATCTTAATTCTTAGGTGCTTTATTAAATTTGATCTACTAGAAAATCTTTTATCACAAATATCCCACTGATATGGCTTTTGTATGTGTCCTTGTTTTTTTTTTTCATGTTTTGTATAAAAGAGAACCTTTAARGCAGATATCACATTCATGACCCTTATCTTTAACTATGTATTCTTAAATGGGTTCTTAAATTTCCTGCTTGAGTAAACCTTTGATCACAGAAGTCACATTTATATGGCTTTACTCCTTTATGTGTCACCATATGTTGTTTTAAAACTGCTTTAGTAGAATACCCTTTACCACAAACTTCACATAAACATGGCCTTATTCCTGTATGGATACTTGAATGTCTTGTTAAACTTGACGAACTCAAAAACTTTTTATCACAGGTATCGCATTGAAATGGCTTTTCACCAGTATGTATCCCCATAATATGCAGTTTTAAATTTGTTGATGAAGAATACATTTTACCACATTCATCACATTTATATGGCTTATTGCCAGTATGTAATCTCATATGGATTTGCAAATTGTCATTTCTAGAAAACCTTTTACCACAGGTATCACAAACATATGGCTTTTCACCAGTATGTGATCTTTTATGGATAGTTAAAGTTAGTGAATCAGAAACCCTTTTACCACAAATTCTACATTTAAAAGGTTTTTTTTTAGTATGTATACTTCTGTGGATTTTTAATTTTAATCTTGTAGAAAACCCTTCATCACAGACTTTACATTTATAGGGCTTTTTTCTCTTATGTATTCTCTTATTGTGTCTATTTAAAACTGATGCTGAAGAAAACCCTTTACCACATACATGACATAAAAATGGCTTATCACCAGTATGTGATATCAAATGGATGTTCAAATTGTCATATCTAGAAAACCTTTTACCACAGATATCACATATAAATGGCTTTTCACCAGTATGTGATCTTGTATGGACAGTTAAATATGATGATGTAGCAAAATTTTTATCACAAATATTACATTGATATGGTTTTGGTTCATAAGGTGTATTTTGATGGATTGTTAATTGCATTTTTGTAGAAAACTCTTCACCACAGTATTCACATTTATAGGGCTCTATTCTCATACAACCACGTATGTGTGTTCTCAAATCTGATTTAGTATAATAAAATTCTTCACAAATGTCACAAATATAACACTGTTTTCTTTTACTTGTATGAACARAATGTGTATTTTTATGTACTCTTAATTGTAGTGTTGTAGAAAACCCTTCATCACAGATATCACATTTATAAGGCCTTGTTCTCATACAACCACGTATGTGTGTTCTCAAATCTGATTTAGTATAGTATAATTCTTCACAAATGTCACAAAAATAACACTTTATTCTTATACTTGTACGAACAGCATGTGTATTTTTATGGATTATTAATTGTAGTGTTGTAGAAAACCCTTCATCACAAATATCACATTTATAGGGCTTTGTTTTCATACAACACAGTATGTGTGTTCTCAAATCTGATTTAGTATAACACAATTTTTTACAAATGTCACAAATAAAACACTTTTTTCTTTTACTTGTATGAATCTTTGCATGCCTTGTCAAGTGTGTCTCCGAGTAAAATAATTGATCACATATATTGCATTTGTGCATAGTTTGAAATTTGTTGTTGACTTGAAAATCACACGAATTTGAAAATGTTTCCCTTAAGTTAGATGTCTTGTACGAATTTAAACAATTAATGAATTCAGAACAGTGGCTTTCACTAGAATCTGTTCTTTCAAATACATTACCATCAATATAATCCCTTTTGTTTTTTATTTTAAAATTAGTTGTATTTATTTCTTCTTCAAATTCGCATTTATCTCTAAAAATAAAAATTATTTAGATTTTACCAGGTTGTGTATATATAGATTTTCATTTTAACATATTTATATTGAATTTAATCATGTGTTGAATAATATAATTTAAATTAAATATAGAATTTAAAATTTTATCAAGGCAAACAAATGTTTTATGAAATAATGATTACATAAAATAATAATAATGAGCAGATAAAGCACATGAAATCAGATAGCTACTACTTTTTGGTTTAAATTTAATGAGATAAACAGTAGGTTTATTACGGTTTATTATTAATAAACAAACAAGGAAATAAAAACAAAATTATTATAAATCAAATGAAATATTATCAGTATCTTTAATTAAAAATTTTAATTTAATTAATGATTCCATACATTAACAGTAGCAATATTCTACCAGACACTCAGTTCGGATTCAGATCCTCACATAGTACATTCATCAAGCCCATAGAATGGTCAATGCAATATTGTTTTCGTTGGAAAAAAACTTTACTATACTAGTGCCTTTCTCGGCATATCTCGAACGTTTGACAGAGTTTAGCATATGATGGGTTACTGTTTAAACTTCAAAGATTTCTTCCCCATCCATTTTTTCTTTAAATTAAATCTAACTTAACTGACCGACATTTCCAAGTACAGTATAGCTTATCATGCTCAGAAATAGCTTTAATTAATGTGAGCGTCCCAAAAGTGAGCATCCTTACCTCAAAACTATTCAACATTTATGTCACTGATTAGCCCACAATGCTTCAAACTACGGAAGCTGATTGTGTGGACAATAAAGTAATTATATTGTTTATTAAGAGTACGTAACAGTGGCATTTCTCGTMTCCGTCTTACCAGTGCGTAATATAGTAAATGTACGCTCAGCAGAACACTTGTAGCTCCTTTAGTTTAAAAATTACATTGAATCGACCTATTATGAAACTTGATGGTAAGAACATTATCTGTGTTTGTATATTGGTTTTTTACGATAATTCAATTTTTAAGTGAGTTATGAGCATATAATATACAGTACATTAATGCTCATAACTCACTTAAAAATTGAATTATCGTAAAAAAACGACATACAACCACAGATAATGTTCTTACCATCAAGTTTCATAATAGGTCGATTCAATGTAATTTTTAAACTAAAGGAGCTACAAGTGTTCTGCTGARCGTACATTTACTATATTACGCACTGGTAAGACGGAGACAACAAATTCCACTGTTACATACTCATAATGAAAATCTAGAAACCTCCTCATCAAACCTACAACTACACCTTAACTTAATGTTTGATTGGTACGACAAATGGCACATTAAAATAAACCAAAACAAGTCAATTCACACAAGGTTTAATCTCAAGAAGGGACCGGTATGTCCAGCTGTTATATCAAGCAACATCCCAATTCCCACAGCAGACACAGTCAAATACCTATGTCTCAATCTCGATAAGTGACTAACATGGAAAAACTATATACGAATCAAAAGACTGAATCTCAACGCCCATTTGTGCATGCTTAGTCCTTTAATATTGAAAAATAGTAATACCAGTCTAACAATCAAACTAGAAATTTACAAAACTCTCCTTAAACCTATTTTGTCATATGATTTACAGCTCTGGAGCTCAGCAAAAAAATTCAACACCAACAAAATCCAAGTGTTCTAAAACTTAGCTCTTCATCGATCAATGTACCACTGTATGTCTTGAATCTAACCTTACACAATGAATTTTTCATGAAAATCATCGATGAAGCTCAATTCTGTGTCAATTTTAGTTTTAGAGCCATGGTTAATGGATCAAAATGACTTAAAAAAATTCAGTCTATCCAAATTTGGTATCAAAAATACCGGTTGCTATTAAAAAAAAAAATTAATTGCGTTGTGCATGTGCGTACCGAGAGGGTTAAAAATTTGAAATTTAACTGAAAATGTGTATTTATATAGGTAACAATGACTTGTTAAAAAAAATTCGATTTATACCAACAAATTTTTTTTGGATAAATTCAAAATATCTTATTTGTGAATCTAATTATAAGAACAATTTTGATATTAAAAATATTTATTTAAGTTAAGTAGTTGATTTTTTAGAATTTTTTTTTCAGATCTTTCTGACACCCTGTATCAGTATATATAAGGAAAAATTTGGGAAGCACAGCAATCAAAATTTAATCAATGAATGATTTAAAGAAACTAGATATTGAAGGAAGGGCAAAGCAAATACTCTTATCCTAATACTAATCTGTACTATAATTATAATTTTAATTTTAATTTTTAATTAATTAAATGTAGGTACTATGTTAGATAATACTATTTTAATGATATTGGTCATATGCATACTGTAAATAAAAATTATATTGAGGAACTGACAAATTTCAATTGCTTCAACTACAACATAAATATATATTTGCTATGAACATCAGGAGCATAGCAAGAACCAGTAGCGCCTCTAGCAGAAAACCAAATTTGTGCCCCTCATCCAATTAAGCTAAAAATAAATGAAGTTAGGCTAACCTAAYCTAAGTTTTTTTAGTAAATTATCATATTTTTATTGAGAATGTCACTCGATGAAACAGCGCCTTTCATATAATTGCACCCTTAGTAAATGCCTCTTGCCAGTGCCTAGCTACAGCCCTGATGGCCATAGGTACATAGTATTTATGTTAACTATGACAAGCTATTATAATTTAAAATTATAAATGATTTAACAAGTCAAGTATCAAATTAAAAATAACAAGTGATGAAATTGAAAAAATTTAAGGTAATTAACTACATGATACTATATATTTGAAATAAATTAAATTTTTTCTTGTGGTAAAAATATGTATTTAATAGTGTAATGAATAATTTATTATGATATAGTATATTATTTGAAAAAACTTAAAATAAATTAATAATACTAATAACTTTATTTTTCAATAAAATTTAAAAAAATATATATATATATATATAATATTAAATTTAAAAATATATATATATTATCAAGTTATCCGCCTTAGGTATATACTATACATTAATGATTATCTTGTATTTATCTGTCATTAGGCAGATGCATACCCTCCATGTTTCCAACCAAAAATGCATTGTAGTGCCTATATTTAAAGCAAGAAATAAGGTGTGCTTCAGAAATATTACAAACTTATGTCTTTATCACTTCTTTATACTTAGGGTTAAAAATCTTTATCATAGTACAATTGTGCAGACATAATTTATAAAGACTTAAATGGATTTAATCTGGCAATGCTTTTAAAAAAATTGCATTACTTTTAACATAAAAAAAGAAAAATTATATTCCTAGCTGTGAACATGAACATATTGCTAGGTATAGAAAAATTATTAATGTAGGTAGTTAAAACAAATTATTATAAGTGTTTCAAGCTTAGAAGTTATTATAATAATATCACAATTATACATAAATCTCTAAAAATTATATTAGCTTATATAACAATAATCACAGCTTTAAGAAAGCTTTAGTAAAATTAATCATCTTTTAAGAGCTAACTTGTAAATTGTAAATTTAATTTAAACATTTGCATAATTTCTTTTTATTTCTTTTATACAAACATCATAAATTTGACATGTTGAATGGCACTACTAAGTGCTCTATCAATCTGTCAGTCACGCTTTGTCTATTGTAACTTTAATCAAAATTATTTATTGTACTTTCTTTGTGTATAGATAGCATAGGGGCAATTAGGGGGTGGCTTAGGGGGTATTAGCACCTCCAATTTTAAAATTAACATCCTTAAATATGTATTAAAAACTTCTTAAAAAAAAAAAAGCTAAAATGACAAAATGCATACCTTAAGCATGCTTAGTTATTTTTATTGAAATTGYGCCTATGATAGATATTAATTWTWTTTTAATAAAAACTAACTTTATGAAATTACTTTAAGAGGWYGCCACACCCGCATGAGTTGYCTTCGTCGTACAAGTGCGTAGCATAGCAAATTTTATGCTCAGCAAATCTTATTATCTCTTTCAATTTAAAATTAGAGTGAATTTGACCTATAATAAAAATTAAAGGCAATATTATTACCGAGGGCATCTCATAGGCTTTTTATTATATTTTAATTTAAAACTGAGTTATGAGTACCTATTTTTAGATATAAAAATAATTTACAATTTTAAAATATTCATTACTCGCTTTAAAATTAAAATATAATAAAAAGCCTATGAGATGCCCTCGGTAATAATCTTGCATTTAATTTTTATAATAGGTTAATTCACTCTAAATTTTAAATTAACAGAGATATATGTGATCTGCTGAGCATAAAATTTGCTATGCTACGCACTTGTACAACRGAGACAACACATGCAGGTGTAGCGTCCTTAAAAAATCATATTTTTAGAATGTTTCACTCCCTAAATGAGTATTTTCTTACTTGGAATTTATTTCAGAATCATTTACAGAAGTTCTTGATGGTTCCATTCTGAATTATGTCCTCCTCAGTGTATATCTCGATCGCTGTAAATATAATCATAATTAATGATGTATCTTTGAAGTCAAATYTGGCAAAATATTTCCAATGTATTTCTTGGTGAGTAAACACGCATAATAAATCGAGTCAGGGCACGCTCAATGTCTCGAGGAACATTCAAACGATACCTCACATCGGGGAGAAACTTTAGGTGGATGATTAGAAGCGGAATTTTAATCTTGGACGTGATGGAAAAATTTAAAATCGCACCGTACGCCGGCACTGCGTTGAATGAGTTATTCAATTTATATTTCATACCTACTTATATAGTATAAACTGTTAAAAAGAGGTAAATTTATGATTCACTACGACTTAAAAAGTACTTACTTACTTTTAAACGATCGTTTCGCGCAATAAACGATTTGGCTTCGAGTTAATTTGATGCTGAAATCCGATATTTTTTCGGTGGCTAATGTCACGAAATGCACGAACCAGACCATGTGGATTTGCCGCGGCAATGGCGAATACAACCAACAGGCGACCGCAGGCAACAAACTTCAACAACAAAAACAGAGGACAGTGTAACAAAATAATRTGACAATCCCCGGCATTTCCATTTTCCGCGTCCTGCCAACGGCGTGTCTGYTTTTGTTCGCGTCCAATGTTGTGATTGGTTCTGATATTGATAAAAATGTTATTATCTTATCAATGCTGATGTGTTTTCCGCCTTAATTCAAATTAAGATAAATTATTATTGTTTATGACAAAATACTATACATCAGCAGCAGCTATTAAACCGGCCGTACAATTTAAGGTTACATTTTCTTGTTTAACATTTGATTAGAGTTGGCTAAAAACCTGTGTTGTTGAAGCCTTAATAAACCTTAAAAAAACAATTTAAGGTTAGTTATTATTGGCTTCTATTGGTTTACAATAAAATTAGGAGGTACCTCCTTTCAAGGCATATTGGTCTTTTGGTAATTGATGGGAGGGGGAGGCACCAGCGATAAAAAAACTGAAATTATGTGCCTGTTTCACAATTCATTTAATCTACCAAACAAAACATTTTTATTGTGATAAATATTGTTTAAAAAATATCAGAATGCCATTTCTAGACGCTATTGGAATGTGTCGCATGCTTATTGCCAACATTGTTTTCAACTGAAAAACTGACATTTGAAATCTTGGCGTATTAAAAATTTAAAAACAATCTCGGGGCTTTTAGAAGGAATAAATTAGAAATGTAGGTGTAATTAMATGAYATATCACGACAGCTGTTGTGTARCTGAAACGTCAATTCAAAACGCCGAGTTACCTACCGTTTGAGATATTACTGAAAAATTTAAATGCTACGTAAGTATGCMGTTCATGATTTAATAGAGTAARTCAATTCAAAATTTAATATGRATTGAATATTTTAGAAGGACGCATGCAAGACCTTGATWTTTGTACTTGCGCTTGATTTTATTTAAATTAATTGGTAAAATGTCTTTATAGTTTTCGATCGGTAGTTCAATAGGTATAGTTTATTCCAGGTGGTGTCGACTAGAATTTATGTTCCATACTACCTATATTAAAGAAGATAATCGGAAATTTTACTGCCACAAAATTCGATGATAAACAGAAAAACAACTAAGTTGTAAAATCAATGCATTCTTTCATTACGCTCTGAATCTAAAGTTTAGTTTACATTAAAATGGAGGTACCTAATTCCTAACTAAATTTTCCATGATGTGATTAGCATACTGTAGCACAAAATATTAATAGGCTTTATTTATAACAAAGACGACAGATTGAACCACATTAAGAAACAAAATATTATGTGATAGGAGTTTTTTATCTATATTATATGTTGTGTCAGAGTGTCTGACATAGGTCATCAGAGTAAATAACTAAAAAATACTGTAAATTATTTACTTAAGACCTCTCAACATACAAACAKCTATAGATTCACTTTCCTATCAGAAAAGAAAACTAAGCAAAAAATCGAAGCATGTTACTGCCTTGAACGATTATTATGTTAAACAGAAAAATCACATCATTGTAAAATAGGTACATGATAAAATAAAATGGTATAATAATAGATTTAATGATATACAGAGTGTAATAGAAAGACCTGACAAAATTCTTTTAGTATTATATGATAGATTAATAATTTAAGAAATATACTCATGTCAGCAAATTCTCAAAAATCATATTTTTAAAAAAGTAATTACATTCCAAATTAATTTAACCAAAAAAATATTGAATTTTTAAAAAATTCTAAAAAATAACTACTTGACTTAGATAAATCTTTTTATAATCAAAATTGTTCTTATAATCAGATTCATAAATAGGCTATTTTGAATTTATCCAAAAAATTGTTTGTACTTGTTTGTTATAGCCCAGCCATAAATAAAATATATAATAATACAATTAAAAATTTAAAAAAAATTAATTATAATTATAAATTTACAAAGGAGGCCAGAACTCAGAAATATCTTTTTATTATTATATTTTATAAAGCCAGCAACGTACTAATTTATTTGATATTATATTAGTATGATATAAAATGTCTCGCAAAGTGTAGTTATTTCCTAAAATATTTTTCAAAATAGATCATCTACCATGAGCTAAACACGAAAACTATATGGGGGAACGATAACAAACAAGATTGGCGGGGCGATATCAAACAAGTACCAAATTTTTTTATTAAATTAAAATTTTCTATTTTCAGTACTAAAAAATAAACATAAAAAAATGTGTTGTACATTTACCTAGCACTAGGGTCACTAATGAAAGAAAAAAAAATATTAATTTGAACAAAAGTTATTCCAAAAGTCAGTGCTATCTGTTACACTATGCAAATCATACTTATACCAAACTGATCATCAACATCAAATTAGCCGTTTTTCACTGGTTGAGTCATTATTAGCATAATATAGTCTATCATGAGACGAGTTGGAAACAACGATGCAAGACCCTACAATATTTCAGTTTGTTGCCATTATACCATGTTATTTTACAATGTTAAAATCAATACATTAATAATTGTTCCACTTAGAAACTAAAATAAACAAAAACAATAAATAAGTATTAATAAATGATGTATTTAATATTATTTGTTAAGCTGTATTAATTGCTATATAGAATACAAGTAGAAACATTATCACATTAAAACTAAAAAAACTTAAGATAATATTAATATTTACTTAGCTAATAAAATGGTTTCCTATTCAAATAGTTTAATGTTTGAATATTAAATTAAAAACTAGACTATAAAATATAAATACTTAAATTATAAGTTAAAATTATTTTTTGTACTTCATTCCTTCATCTCAGGTTTACCTCTTTGCAACTAAATTTAAGTGTTAGGACTACTTTTCTTACAGAAAATTATTTCTACACTACACATTTAAAAAAATAATAACTAAATAAAAATTGGAAACATACATTCTAGTTATTTGAGTTATTTCTTAAGTTCTCTAAATTTATACATTAAAAGATAAATCTAAAATTTAAACTACATTGCTTGATTTAAAAATATATTATCTTATTTATATTGTATGGTACATAAATATATTGTATTAAATATTTAAAATTATTTAAAACATATGAAAAACCCATTATGTATACATTTGGTATTTTTACATGTTTAAATATTAAAAAATTAACATATTATACAACAAATTTTTTTATATATACTTTTTTTGATTAAGTTCATAAAAATGGTAATTATCATATTACACAATAAAAATATTAAATAAATTCTTAATATGTAGAATCATATTTCCAAACAATGTTCAATTTACCTCTTAAAACTTAACCGATATTCCAATTTACTTCATTGATGTATTTGTAAAAAATTACACAATACAAAATTAAAAACCATTTTCAATTAAACTTGTTCATAAAATGATAGCTGATAATTAAACATAACAAGAATATTAAATTTAAAAAATGTTGTGTTCCTAAAATAATATACATTTAATTATATTTTAATTTTTTTCATAAATAACTTAACATGGTTTTCTTTAATCATTGAAAATGAATATTATATAGGGAAACCATAAAGTGTTAAAGAAATAAAATGTAATAATCTTGAATCTCAAGTAAAGATATGTTATTTAAAGTTTAATATTATAGTTATTCTAAGAATATATTGTTTTAACTATAGATAAAATTTTTATACGTTGTATTAAGTAAAATATATAATATACAACACAACATTACAAAAAATTTATATTATCAAATTTTAGTCCATAAGTACTTTATATTAGTATATCCCTCTGTGTAAATATCAAATGTCAGTACTGTACAAACATAATATTCATCCTGCCACTACTTGTAAATCAAACACCTGTGTAACAATCCCAATTCCTTTAGTCTGACCTTCTCTGAATAATAACCTCATGCCTTCTGTTACATATTCTGGATGACGCGCAAACTTAAATATCACTGATGCAGAATCATTAGTGTGCATGCCCCGTTTATCACACTCCATGATAGCAACAATAGCAGCAGTTTGTCGTATATTCCCAATGTGTACAGTAGTTTGAAATCCATTGTGTATGGAAGTCGCATGATAAAGCACCACAATTCTAGCCTGCAAATCAAATCCAAATGATAAAAAATAGTTCAGCGCAACTAAATTGTACCCATACCCAGTGTTGTAAAGTATTTGAGTAAAAGTATTTGAATAAAAGTATTCAAATACTTTTTTACGTATTCAATACTTTTTAAAATACTTTTATTTTTGAAGTGTTTGAACGGTATTTTAAATACATTTTATTAGTATTGAATACTATTTTATTGAATAATTTTTTTATTCCTTTAATTCTTTATTCATTGTCAAATAATAATAATGTCATAATAATATTATAAATATAATATTATTTTATCATTTATGAACAATTCAATATCGGTTTTAGTTTTTGTCTATTAATAGCCTAACTAAATATGTTTTACTCCGAGAAACCGTCTGTTTATTGTCGACGACGATCGCAATTCGCAACGGTACGTTATCGGTGTACCTACTACCTAGCAGTGCGTCAGTAGAGAGAGTGTTTAGTGTTGGTGGTGCAACWATCACCAAMAAAWGAACTAATATGACTGATAAGCATTTCGAACAAATTATGTTCTTAAAATGCAACACACAAATGTTCGATTAATATTATATATTAATATATTATGAATGATTCAGAATTAANGCAACACACAAATGTTCGATTAATATTATATATTAATATATTATGAATGATTCAGAATTAAATTGATTTTTTTGTTTTGTATTTGAAAATTATGTCAAATACTTTACTATAGATAGTATTTGGGTGGTATTTTAAATACTTTATTTTATAAGTATTTGAGTAATTACTTAAATACTTTTTAAAAGTATTTTTTACAACACTGCCCATACCTGAAAGAATATACAGGCACTATGGTTCACGCCTAATCCCAAAAGCACCATGCCATTCCTCAAGCCTGGAATAACTTTTTCTAAGCTTAATGAAGCACTCTGCGTTGCTTTTACTACACGACATGGAGCTTTATTTCTGTGTATAGACTGTACAGTAACTGGAACAAATGTTCCATTATCAAGAGGACCTAAAAATAAAATAAACTTAAATTTGTTGCATACATTTTTTAAAAATTATAACCAGCATAATAAATTGATTATTTCATACCTATGACTAGTTCTGAGGCTATATTGACAACACCTTGCGTAAGTACACCACCAACAATTGTACCAATTTCTGGAACTTTAAAAATCTCATCTATTTGGAATTGACAACATTCCTAAAAAAAATAAAATTATATTACCGGGGATGTTTTAAAATTTGGTATGATTTGACAGATAAAAAATATATTGCAGCCGTATGTAGTTGTATGGTGCTACACAAATTTACAAAACTATAATTAAATAGCATTGTATCTATACGTATAATCATAATTATTAAACATATATTTTAAAAGGCTATCTGCAATGAGTGACATTAGATTTAAAATATTGTAGACAATACTCTACCAAGCTCATACCTAGTTTATATTTAGTGATACCATTATTTTATAACATGGTATCAATGATTAAACTTTAAACAAGAGGTATGAAAAAAAAGAATAGTAAACGACAGAATTTGATGCATTGAAATTTTTAAGTTTTCTTATCAATTAATAAAGGAAGTAAGCGATACAATAATTCTTGTGTTAAGCGCAATAATATTTTTAATTTTGAAGTACACGCCAAAATGTTTTATTGGTCACTCACAACATATGTACCATTATAGACAAATTAGAAGTATCAAAATAACAACAAATGTGGTATTATATTATGTTCTAAATTTAATATAATACACATAATAATGTAAAAAAATCGAGGAACTATCTAGAAAACTAGAAAACTTTTACCATTTTCAAAATAAATAAAAACAAAATCATTTTCTGGCTCTATTGAAAAGTAGGGAAAATTTAAAATAAAGTTTAAACCCAAAATATTTCATGCTTTACTAATTAGTTATCTTTTAAAGTAAAATAAATAATCAACAATAGGAAAAATAAAATGGCATATATATATTTTATGTTTAGAAAAATTTAATAATATTATTTTCAAACACTTGAGAAAATATAATTAATAAACTGGATCAAAATTACTAGTTACAGACACTCAACAATGTACTAACAAGACAATTTGCAATTTAAGTCCTAAATATTGCTTTGATAACATACTAAAAAAAGTTTATGACCAAATAGTATTCAACATATTAATTGTATCATACATTCTATTAATAATTTAGTGGTGGTGCAATACATTTTTTACCAACCTTGGCGTGCACCACACTTAAAATTAATAAAAGAAAATAATATTATAGTACCTGTTCCAATCTCTCTTTTTCTTTTATACTTAAACTCGGTGGTAAAACATATAAAAACCTAGTGAGTAAATCTAAATTTTCACCAGTAACACTGGATATGGTGAATATAGGCACAACATTTTGCGTTGGCTGTGCTGAACTTGCAGTAATGACATCATCGTCAGATTTAATAACAAGAGGAACCTGAAATTTAAAATGATGTATTTATAAACTTTATAGATTCTTAATTAAATAACAAACATAATATGATATAATTTACTTTTCGACGCCCAATTGATTTCAATACAGACTCCAACCAATTGATTGTATTATCTGCAGGAGTAATGTCAGTCTTCGTAACAACAATGCAAAACGGGAGCCTAAGAGCAAGTGCTAAATCCATATGCTCTTTGGTCATGTCTAATTGAGTAGGACTAGAAACATTTACAGCAGGACTGCTTACAACTAACATAACATGATTTGGACAGTAACCACTCAAACCAGCTACAGTAGTTTTAAGATATTTTTTATGTCCAGCGAGATCAAGGAATGTGATCAACTTAGATGAACGATCTCTAATCTCTTCAGCTGTACGTGCCTTTTGGTAGTTAATAACATCGCCCTTTAAAACAATAAAATATTAGTTGTAATAGTTATAAAAAGGATGGTAAACTTATTTGTGATTAAAATATTTAAAAAACTAAAAAATATGTTCAGATTATTTATTTAAATATTTTTTCTGTTTTGATTATTATAGTATTATATTATTTTATGTTTAATCATTAATTTTAAAAGTAACCAGGTGATAGGTAATTCATTTTTTTTGTATAGGTACATATAGAATATATGTAATAAATATAATACCTACTAAARGCTGTAACCCTGACTCTGTTTAATTTAAATTTAAGAATATTAATCTTAATCTATTTATTATTTATAAATTCATAAAATGTAATACATTTTAATTACCTCAGCATCAAAACCGAGAATTTCATGAGATATGGAAGAAGTTCGTCCAGATCTAAGTTCATGTAAATGTCTTAAAACATTTAACCGCGCACTACCACGGCCGTTATCAAATTCACCATGTGCTAAGACCCCAAGAAGAGTAGACTTGCCAGCATCTGCGCCTCCCAATACAGCAACCATTACTTCAATACATTCTTGGTCATCGGGAACCTAAATCATACAAATTGTATTAAAATAAATTTATGGTCTAAAAATAGGTGGCATTTTTTATATACTCAGCTAAATTCTTTTCAGGATTATATTAAAAGGTATCATAAAAATTTCATAGTTATTATATTATTAAAATATTTAACATCCTCTTTTCAACTATATACCTTATAACACAATTAATGTGATTTGTAATTGTTTTAAATAGTAACTAAAATACTTTATTATGGATATTTATATATTATTAAACCTAGCTTTACTCATTTTTTTAAATCATAAAAGAATTAATATTTTAAACTTATACCAATGTCTTTCCAACTAATAAAAATGTACTGATTACAAATAGTTATCTAATTACTTTCAACTCCAACACCTTAAATTTTTAAATTTTTTTTAGATACAGATTATAGACTAGCTGAGGTATCAGCTATGACCTTGATATTTATTATTTATACGTGATGAACTCACATTTTTGTGGGCAATCATGAAAAAATTATCTTCAAAATCTTTGACAACAAAATGACAATAAGGCATAATATGATAAAATAATTATCTTTTTAGTTGTTATTCTACTGTAAATCAAAATTTGAAAAGATTAATCAAAGAACAATAAAATTACTTTCATAATAATATCAAAGAATACTGTAGAGTGAAGTTAAATGAAAATCTTTTTTACATTATTACATTAAAATGTAATCTAAATATTCATTAAAAAAACAATGTGAAAGAACCTATAAAAATTTAATAAAGCCAAATAAAGTTATTTTATATAGAAATTTGATTAATTTATTTATTGTATGATCATCAGTTTTTTTTCTTCTAATGGCCTTTTTCGTTAAATTATGAACTTGACCTTCATTTAAACAAATTGAATGACATGGATAAAAAAATTTGAAAGTAAACATTTTATTGTTTTTAAATAGGCATCGATGTATAATTTTTCGACTTTAGAATCAATAAATAAAGTAGTATTTTAATTTACTCTAAGAATATGCACCTATACACTTTTTTTTAAGGAAAACCACCAGTTTATAAATTATCTAAAACGTTGAGAAATATGATGTAATGAATAGCATATATCCTTCAAATTTTTGCACTACCATTAGATTATAAAATGATTAAAGATAAAAATATTACTTAAATTCAATTTAAATTACCTAGTAGGTAAATTATATAATGCATAAAACAAAATTCATACATTAATAGTTAAATGTTTTTGTTAAAGCTAATAACCCATGTAACTGATGCTTAACCAATCAAAAAAATAAAAATAAATATTAGTTAATATATTGTCTTTTTTTTATAGGATAAACAATTTTTTTATGTAGAGACTAATGAGTATAGTCGTATAAAAATGGAAAGCATACCTATAAATAATAATTTTGTATAAAAGATAAAAACCTTTCGAACTAAAACTTCCGCAACTATTTTGTCTTTTCTAACAGATCTTTCTCGTAACACTGATGTGGTGGCGCCGAGTTTGTGGGCCATTTGATCCAGAGTGATCAGACTGGACTTCATGTCATCAGAAGACAATCCGGTGAGTCTCCCTGTATCCTCGACACCAATCTCGTATATGGCTTCGCCGTGTCCCTCTCTGAGCCTCCATTTCAGCTAACACAAAATTGACATGGAAAATGATATACAATGCATTTGGTTGAAAACGACAAGTATATTGTAACCAAGGGTCTCACCTGGGTGACTAGATGTTCGAAGCGCAATTTCGACGGACTGGTCAGCTTGAGCTTGTACTCGACGTTGCCCATTTGCGGTTCGGGTGGCAGACGGGTGTCGTCGTCGTCGTCGTTGTCTTCTGGCCATACATCGCAATTGGTCGGGGGACTGGTGCCCGGGTCGAAAAGGTCCAAAAACGAATCCATATCGACTGTGGGTATCGGCCTTCGACGGTCGCTCGCTCCAACACTCCCAACTAAACACGAATGGCAATCATTTCACCATTCCGCGATCGTCAATCCGACGACGCTGAGCCGCGCCACCGTCGTCGCCGTAATACCAATGAAACTAACGACTTTGCGCAATATTGCGCACAAAGACAGTCCGCGGGCCACCGAGAGTGAGTGGCGCGTCGTACCTCGACAGGCCACGACTGGTAGCAGATTTATTTATAAACAAAGCGCAGCAAGGTCGTCGGTCACCGTGTTTTGGCCGTTCGCGATATTGYGGTAGGTACCACACCGACGACGGTACTTATCACGTCTTATCAGCCCGACGGCCGTTATCGCGCGAGCGTCGTGAGAAACGTCCGACGATACGACGCATTTTCAAGGGCGACTTTTCGAACAGGTGTTTTTTGTTTTTCCGACTTTCCGGTTACCGTGCCAAAACGAAGACTCGCTTACTCGCGCCACCTTAAAAGTAGGTATCTACCAAAACCGTCGACCTTCCGGCTCCCACTTGGCACTAACACGAAACTCTTGTTCACTAATTGTTGTCGACAAAACAATACTATTATGTTTCATAATAATTGCGTTTCCGAGAAGTTATAAAAATACAAACGAAAACAATGGTGTAATGCATACCTACACACGATGAGACCAATTCATCCTATAAAATATAAACCACACTATATATAAAAAAAAAAAATAGGATAATGAAAATTCATAGTAAATAATATCATACCTATTCATGTATTTACATACCTATATCAATTGTGTTGTGGTGTGGTCTAAATCAGGGGGGCGTATTTAGATATCTATTTTTGGGGGGGTCTGTGGTATTTTCTCCAACTGAAATTCCCAATTCAGCCAATATGAGTTAGAAAATTTACATCTGATATGACAGAATAAGCAGACTTCATAAACAATTCCTG